GAAGATAAACAATAGAAGAAAATTTTCATCGACAGGGGCCACTTACCTTAGAGACACTCTTGGAGCCACAGTATTAAACTGAATTGGTCAAATACACCAATCAGGCATAACATTATGTCCACCTCCTGTTTCTACGCTCATTGTCCATTTTATCAGCTCCACTTACTATATAGGTGCACTTTGTAGTTCTACAGTTACAGACTGTAGTCCATCTGTTTCTCTGATACTTTGTTAGCCCCCTTTTACCCTGTTCTTCAGTGGTCAGGACCCCCATGGACCCTCACAGAGCAGGTACTGTTTGGGTGGTGGATCATTCTCAGCACTGCAGTGACACTGACGTGGTGGTGATGTGTTAGTGTGTGTTGCGCTGGTCTGAGTGGATCAGACACAGCAGTGCTGCTGGGAGTTTTTAAGCACCTCAGTGTCACTGCTGGACTGAGAATAGTCCACCAGCCAAAAATATCCAGCCAACAGCGTCCTGTGACCACTGATGAAGGACTAGAGGATGACCGACACAAACTGTGCAGCAGCAGATGAGCTATCGTCTCTGACTTTACATCTACAGAGTGGACTGACAAGGTAGGAGTGTCTAATAGAGTGGACGGTGAGTGGACACTGTTTAAAAACTCCAGCAGCACTGCTGTGTCTGATCCACTCAGACCAGCACAACACACACTAACACACCACCACCACATCAGTGTTACTGCAGTGCTGAGAATGATCCACCACCCAAATAGTACCTGCTCTGTGAGGGTCCATGGGGGTCCCGACCACTGAAGAACAGGGTAAAAGGGGGCTAACAAAGTATCAGAGAAACAGATGGACTACAGTCTGTAACTGTAGAACTACAAAGTGCACCTATATAGTAAGTGGAGCTGATAAAATGGACAATGAGCGTAGAAACGAGGAGGTGGTCAGAATGTTATGCCTGATCAGTGTAAGTACAAACAGAGTGCTGCTACTAGAAAAATAAACATTCAGATATTATACTTTGCTTATGTCAAAAAAAACCTCATGTCCCCAAAATGGTAACTTTACAGGAGAAGCAGAAAACATACTTTACTTTTAAAGTTAATGGAGTCAGACTTTTCTTCAAAGTCATTTTTGGCCGTTTCATTTGCTCCATTTATCATGAAATTTACACACAACGTAAAGGGCAACAAACATTTTCAAATCAAGTCAAAAACTGAAAATGACTAAAATAGAGATACTAGGTTTTGTTCTGACAGCAGCGATACACTGAATTTGTCAAAGCTAGATACAATAAGAAAAATTATTTAAAAAAAGCCCACATGGCCAAGGGCACCGGAGCTTTAAATCAGGCCCAAAAAGCTGGTTTGACCCCTTCTATCCGAGCCAGAACACAGTTTTATGTTATGTACTTTTCTGATCCTGCTGCTTAACTTTGCCCAGTCTGGGAACCGCAGTGTCGCCAGCAGAGGGGCACCACACCCTGTGGACACAACTCAGTCCATCCTGGATTTGAACCCTTGACTTTCCAGCTGCTCTCCTGCCACCCCTTCACAGCACCATCTTTTGAGACTGAATCTGACCAGAGCCTGACAAAATATCCAAATCTCACCATGACGTTGAATCTGAAACTGCCCAAAGCCAAACTACATGAAAGTTTCAGGCCTGAAACTGACCCGAGTCCAACAAAATTCTGCCCGAAACTGACCTGAACCGGCCCATCACCCAAGTGCTGAATAAAACCTCCTGTTTCTAATGATAGTGCTGGTTGAGTTACTGCATGGTGACAATAACAGCCATCGTTAGATCATGGATAAATAAAAAATCTAAAATAATAAGATAATTTTAGATCGCTGACCAAGTTTACATTCACTTTACGGTGAATACGGTGCTGTTCTCACTGCGCGATGCTGATAGAGCAGGATAGTCTCTCTAGACCTCTAGAACGTTACATACAACGTACTGAACATAAGACATTTTGGTCAAAATGCATTAAATATAAAGTCCTTTCAGCTGCACTAAATGCAGGTTAAAAACTCTTCAAAGTGGGAGGCAAAATGTGCACCCAAGCCAGTCACATACAGTCGTATGTAAAAGTTTGGGCACCCCTGGGCGAACGCCATGTGGTGTTGAAAATAAGATAACGCATCCTCTACAGAGACACACTTCTGCACAATTTAAATCACAAATGAATAGAAATTGTGCAAACTTTTGCAGCTTTATTTGACCAGTCAGGTTTGGACCAATATTTCATGCTCTAAATGACAACATGACTATGAGCACCTCTGTTTAAATCTAGCTGAGGCCTCTCTTCAAGATGGACATCATTCTGCTCTGTATTTTTCATATCCTCACTGGAAACTGATGCCGAGAGCCAAACATGCGGCTCGACTAGCCCAGGAGTCGGCAACATGCGGCTCTTTTACTGTCCCTGTTGTGGCTCCACAGCTGAATCAGATTTGTAGGTAAAAATAAAATAATCCTCCTTTACAGTAAAGTAAAGCTCTGCTGATCGTTCAACACAGTTTACAGTAAATGGTCTTAAACTCTGGAGTTAATGTAGAACTGCTGATTCACCCTTTAACCCTGAAGATCAGCACAGACTGCTGGTCACCATAGCAACACAGACAGTCTCGCCTAGCTAGTAGCTAACGAAACGGCAAAGAGAGAGATTTAAGACGAACATCGATAATTTGAAGACGGATAAACATATTACGTTTATAATCACTCCAGCTGGTTTCCTGATACGTTTAATCTGCAATGAAAAACTGACAAACACTAAAAAGTCAGAAGGCTAAAGTCAGTTTCTCCCTTCTGGAATTTTTCCGTTCCACCTTAAATGGTGCAGCGGTTATATTCTGGCACCTCAGGCACCATTTAAGGCAGCACTAAGGTGGAATCTGACATCAGCCTCGTAAAAAGTCGAACACTGAGAGACATTTTACAAGAAACTGTTCTACTTTTGAGGAAAAGTTTCCTGCTGGAGATGCGAGAAAATCGGCTACAGCTGAGCTAAAGCTTAAAGCAGAGCAAAGTGAGTCTGTGTTTTTGCTTATATTTTTATCCTGTATTAGTACATCAGCACACACTGAGACAGATTTACAGCCAAGACAGTAAAATGGACATTAAGTGTGGCTCCAAAGGTGGTTTGATTTTTGTTGAAAGGACAAAATGGCTCGTTAACATTTGGGTTGCGACCCCTGGTGTAGCCATTCTGAAGGGCACACATGAGTGTTTCTGTATAGTCCCTAATCCAAGACTAAATATTGCTCTAAAGCTGAAGGCTTTTTCATATGCCTGTTTTAAAAACACATAAAATGAAGGAAAACAGGATAAAACTACAGAATGGGTTAAAAATAAAAGAGAGATGATGATTAAGAACTCATGGAAAAAGAAACTCAAATCCAAACAAACAAAAGACGGTGATTTCAACAAAAAGAAATTTATTTCAATTATGTAAGACAAAAAGAATAAAATTCTTCATACTTACATACAGTAAACATCCATTCATTCACACACAGTGAAGATGAAATGCACATAAAAATGCCGTTCGGGGGGTGCAGGACTGAACAAAAAATACCACAAATATAATCGTTTCTCAAACATAATTCACAGAACGGTCACGCAAACACACAAAAAGAACAGAATGTGTGTAAACATGCACATAATGAACAAAGGTGACGTTTAAAACAAATTACATTCAGCAGTAAATAACCGTCATGCTGCGTTCAAAAATAATGCCTCGTTTCGCTCCCGACCGAATCCGCTTTTTAAGGTGAAGCTGATCTCAAAAGGTGAGAGAATGTCTAAGAATTTCTGTTCATGTGTAAAATTAAGAGAATTAAACAAGAAGGCCACTTTGCAAATGTCAAACTCCCTTAAAAAGAAATACATTTTTTTTTAAATAAAATTAAAAATAAAAAAATTAAACACTTTGGATGAATTGTGATACTTTAAGCAGCTTTTACATGTAAATAAAAGCCATTTTAAAACTTTCTTCAGTCGCTGTTTATATATTTCTAACTTCTCACAGTGCAAGCTAGTTGAAAATCCAGTAATAAAGCTCTTCATTTCTTTGCGGCATCACATTCTTTGGCTGCAGCAACCTTTGGTTTCGCATCACCGCAACCTAGGACTCCTCCAGAGGATTGTCTGAAGACAACAGCCCTGATAGCCTTGATTCTACCTAGAACAGCCAGGCAATGTTGCAAGAACTTAATAGTTTAACACGTTATATAAAACTAAAATACTTAAATTTGATATATGTAGATCTAAAATTTGTTTCTGCTGTTCAGTAGTGAACATGCTTAGCTAAAACCTCTATCTTCATATAAAAAGTACACGACTCCAAATATGTTTACATGGTAAATCATTAAATATACGTCATTGCCAAAAAAGCACAATAACACTATATATATATGAGATTGTCATCTGCTTCACTATTTCACCCATTACTTTCATATTTTTATTACGCCACCCTGCGATCATCAGGCATTAAACCAGCCGAAACGCCCATTCCTAAAGATAGTACAGTAATATGACCGTCTAGTGAGGTCTAAGTCTCTTGAGATGCAAAAGGACTGAACGCCAAAAAAAAGGTAGAACTTGAGCCGTATTACAGAAACATCTTAAGTCTGAAATCGGTTTAGTCTCCATGGCGACTTCAAGTATGGGCTGAATTTCGGACAGTAGCTATTCCAGAATAACAGTTCCTAACTTCATAATCTCATCATCAACTCCAGATAAGAAAACAGCATCTAAACATCTAACCTAACTAGACTAAACCTCCTAAATCCTGTCCTAAAAAATGTCCTTTTAAAGATCTCAGACGCTGCAGACTCGATCTCCACCGCCCCTCTGATCACCTTCGTGTGTTAATGTTGATGATGAAATATTACAGTGACGGTGGTGAATAATGAGGAGGAGTAACGTTGGGAAATGGAGACTGAAACTGGGGAGCGGTGACGCTCTGATAAACAGCAGGGGGCGCTCTCACAGTATTCAAAACCTACAGTTTATCAGACTTTACCTCATCGGTTTTGGCGGCTGTCCAGCTAACTAAAATTTTAACGTTATTTTGATTACGTGTTTACATTTCAGCTGTGTGCGTACGGTTGGTTGCTAGGTAACAGACATGACAGTTGATTGTCGACTTCAATCAACTAGTTTAGGATTTACTAACGTGAGATAAGATGCTGTAAGATAAGATTCCTAAATTAAGATTCGTTTCTGTAATGCGAATTCGTGAAAAATCTTATCTTGACCCGTCAGATCTTAAGACAAATAGATAGGTGTTTTCTGTAATACAGCTCCTGGACTACGAGCACTGATTTAAAGGGAAACCTGACTGTTAAGACTTGTATGCCTTAAAATGGTGTACAAGTCCAATCCTATTAAATACTAATAAATAATTAATCAATAAAATGGAGTACTAATAAACTAAACTCTCTTTTATCTTTAGCTCAGCTCAATTACTCATTAACTGTGTACTAACTGCCGCTTATTAAACTGTTAACGAGCTGATAAGGGCGTTTACTGATATAAAAACGTAACATCAGAACTAACAACCCATTAATTATCTGTTAATTAATCTGGTGATTTAATGTAATTAACTGGCACTTTGTTTCCTTCCCAGTTAAGTGATTATTCTCGTTACTATACTGTGAACTCTACAATTAAGGCTTGACACGTTACAGACATCTTAATTTCTCTCTATTCGTTTAAGTGTCCTTAAACGGACAATATGCGTACATCATCAATTAACATTTAGTCTGTTAAGTCCTTAACACAAAAGTACTTTAGTTCTCATGTTATTTGAGTAAACATAGTTCGCTCATTAACAGTTCAGTAAGCAGCAGTTAGTACAGTTGTTGAGTAATTAAGCTGTGAAATAAGGACAATCTAAACTATCAGTTAACAGTGTACTCACTAAGTACTGAGTACTTAATCAGTAACTTATGCTTAATGAGTAGTTAATTAATATATAAATAATGAGTATTTCATTACTTAATATATATTTATCATTTAATTAATGTAAAGTGTTGCCACTCCAGGAAAACGATGCGCTCTAGCTAAAGTTGGAAAGGCTTAATGATATATTTCAGTTAAATGAGATATTCAGCTTGTTTCTCGCTCAACAGAGCACAATCGTTTGATGCTGCAACAAAAACGTCAACTCACTAGTAGAGATTATTACTATTTTAAGAAATTTACCAAGTATTTTGCTCAGTTTATCCAACATATTTTTAAAGCATTGGACATGTAGGCCACACAGACGTGTCTTAACAGTCAGTGTTCCCTTTAAGATCAGGCTAACCAGTAATTCAACTTCATTTTTGGCTCCTATATTTCTGGGAATTTGAAGTCTTGCCACTAAACACTGGATCATTTTATTAGCAAAGTGTCTGAACGTCGATGGCCTTCGGTTGAAACTCGTTTCTTTCTGAAAAGACTGCAGCTTATTCCCCACTTCCAAAGAAAAGCCACACAGATGTCTTCAGGTCAAGTCTTTTTCTAGGTGGAAACTATTGCACTTCAATACAAACTACATCTGTAGTGTTTCAGGGGCTGCATAGTGTGAACAGCTGGATAATACAGTACAGTTTTCCCAGTGGGCGCTGCAGAAAAACTGGTTGGTTAACCAGCAAACGCAGTGATGGCTTCTGTTTCAGGCGTACGGCAACCTTCTCAGACGGCCTTTTTGAAATGAGCCCTGCTTCTCTGAATCGTAAGACTTCCTCAAAACACACACAAACACAAAATGGAGAAAGAAAAACCAAACAGAACAAAAGATTGCACAAACATGGTCATGAAACAACAACCATAAGACATTACTCTTATTAATTAAGAAAACAAACAAAAAAAACAAACAAAAAAAAAAAACAATTCAATGGCAAAAATAATAAAACTTTTACAAAAAGCACATCTTGACTAATACTTCATATTCACTGGAGGAAAAACAGTGAATATGCGAGTTTGGACAGAAAATAGGTGAATAAAGTGGAGTGGAGATTCAGTCAGGGTGTGCCACGCTTTGTGTTTTGGGACTGGGATGGGAAGAGGGAGTGGTCCCAAGGAGTGGATTTGGGAGGAGAAAAAGAAGAAAAAAAAGAATGTAGGAAAAGATGAATGGATGAAATGGATGGAAATGAAAGTGCACACCCACACGGACAACACGCACTCTGGCAACTTCTTTCTTTCACAGTACAGGTGGCAGAAACATATGATAGACTTTCACAATACGTGATGTGTATCTCGATAAGTAGCTTTTCTGAGGTCTGATCAGGTGAAAAAGACCATCGCATTTAAAACACGCTGTCAAAAACACGCAGACTGCGTCTCCCAACGACGGGGCAGAGCCGTCGGTGCTATTCGGACAGGACTGGCTTTTCATGATGGGGGTAAAGCAGTTTCTACCAGCCTTTCTCCACATGTCATTTTTAAGTACTGTGACCTCTGAACTCCAGGAGCTTTCACCTACACTCTTAAAAAGATGGTTCTTCAAGGGTTCTTCAGTACAGAAAATGGTTCTATATAGAACCTTGAACACTCATAGACCCTTTGCATGATTAAACAGTTCTTTGCATCTTGAAAGAGTTCCTCAGTTTGATGAAAATGTGCATGAATGTGCTATAGATGGTCTACAAAGGGATCTACATAGCACCAAAAAGGGTTCTTCTATTGTTACAAGCTTGACATCGTAAATAGAAGAGCCCTTTTTGGGGCTACATAGAACAATTCCATAAAGGTTCTTCACAGAACCATCTACAGCACATTATTCGAGTGTTCATGGTTCTATAAAGAACTATTTTCCTTACAAAAGAACCCTTGAAGAACCATCTTTTTTTTAAGAGTGTAACAGTAGGAAAACCCTTTTTGGTGCTACACACAATCCTTTTCAAAAAGGTTCTATATAGAACCATCTACAGCACATTCTCCATCAATGTGAACTCTTTTCACAATGCAAAGAACCCTTTAATCATGCAAACGGTTATTTAAGTGTTCATGGTTCTATATAGAACCAGTTTAAGAGTGTACTACAAAACAGACCGTTGAAAAAATAACCCATATTATATTAATCCCATGCAATAAAACCATCTGCTGAAATAACCCCAGGTTACATTAATTCTGTTTATCAGTAAATATTTCATCACTTCCTGTTTTTACAGTTTTTCTGAAGTAAGGAGGCACTTAGAGAAGCACTGACGTGTATTCTCTGTTACCCAAATCAAGCCAATAAATATTGTTCTACCTAAAAGTGTATGAACCAGAATATTAAAACATAAGAGTAAAGCATTTGATCTCACACAGTGATGCTGACTGACCGCTGTAACTTACCAAGCTAAAGATGACGCTAATGACACATTACAGTCACTTAAGGCAGGTAGGCAGATGGTTACAGGTAATGAAATTATGACGATTAAATGTTTAGACATGTTTTCTACTTGTTTTCTACTTGTAAGAAGCTGGAAGTATTACATATGAGACTTTTTTGGTGTGCATAATACCATAACACCATGCATAGATCGAGTAATCCCATCTCTGTGATTTATACCAAGTCTTCTTATCCAGTCCTAATTGGTCATCAACATTACGGACACCATGTGCTTACAGTACTTTACCCAACCATGTAAAACTAATCCCGTCCAAATAATACTTTACACAGCGGCACCCTTTGGGAGCCTTATCAAAACCTCTTTTAAATGGAACACGCAGTTGTCCAGGTACCCAAGATATCGTCAGAAAAGCTAATCGCAATGACAATATCATCGTCATATCGCCCACCTGTTTCACGCTCTCCGCATCACTCTGACTGGTTTCCGTCTATCTCCATGGCACTATCTTCCCCCTCAAGCTTCTCCCTGAAGCTGTCCTCCTCAGCCCACTCTCCCACCTCCCGTCCTCCCTGTACACCCTCACCCTCTCCTCTCTCCTCCGCCGCTCCCTCTCTCTCCTCTCCCGCATCCTCCGCCTCTGCTCCCTCACCGCTTGAGGCAGGAGCCGGGGCAGCTTGCTTGGCTTCTCCTCACGCAAGAGCCCGAAAGCCCTCAGCTTGGTCAGATAACGTGGAGGAAGCTCTTTCAGCACTCGGCTAGCTAGGCTAAGCACCACCGAGTTGGCCAAATCAGCCAAAACCCCTATGGGACGGCGGACGAACCGCCGGGCCCAGAGCAGGCACCGGGCCAGCAGGGCGGCGCCCAAGCTCTGGGCTTGAAACTCGGCCGGGAGGCTCTTGATGGGCACCGGGATCTTGGAGCGTCTGCCGCCCCAGTTGCGCCCAGCTTTGGGGAACATATCGTAGAGGCTGCGCTCGGCCAGGCCACCCAGCAGCGACTGGCACAGGGTGAAGAGGGGCTTGGGCAGGCGGAAGAGCAGCCGTACCCACAGGCGCCGGAGCTTGCGCGGGGCATCTTGGAGGAACACGCGGGCCGGCCGCACCACCAACACCACTACCAGGTAGAGGGAGAGGAACAGCGAAGGGGAACTGAGGAAGAAGGCTGAGATCAGGGCCACTGGGACGTAATAGAGACCCAGGCTGAGCGACAGGCCCAGGCTGAACAGCCCTGAAGCCCAGAGTGTGAGTGATAAGTATGTGGTTAAAGAGAGGGAACAGAGGGAACGCAGGAAGAGGTAAGAGAAGAAGAGGGCCAAGAAGGCAAGTTCGGCTGAGAGGAGGACTGAAGCGAGGGAAGGAAGTGGCGGGGAGCGGCGGAGGGAGAGGAGAAAGACAGAAAGGGCGAGGAGAGTAGGCACGGACGGCTGAGCCGCCGCAGAGAGCGAGAGGACAAGGCAGATGGCGTGGGAGAAAAGAGAAGGGAGGGAAGGCTGAGAAGAGGATGGCGAGGGCACAGGGAGAATGGGAGGGGGCTCGAGTTCCTCTAGAGTGTCGGGGAAGTAAAATTCAGACAGCTCGTCCACTTCCCGTTCACGCACGTGAGGCCGGTGCTCAAGAGAGGGGGCGGAGATCAGCTCTGACGGACAGCCGTCTGCCACGCCCCTGCCCTCTTCCCTCTCCTCCTCGGTCTCCATCTCTGTCTCGCTACCTGAATCGTCCTCATCGTCCCACCGTAGCCCACGTAGCTGCCTCTGATCGTCTTCGCCTTCTTTACTTTCGTCCTCCTGCCATTCTTTGCCGCTTACCTTCTCGCTCAGTTCGTCTACGTTTTCCTCTTTGGCGATTTCTAGCATTTCTCCCTCATCCTCTTTCTCCCTGCCCTCGTCAGTTAACACCTGTACATGGCTTCCTTCATCTTCTCTACTCACAGCATCGCTCCCTTCACTCAAGCTGCTTTTCTGACTTCCGTCAACTTCGTCACCCCTGTCTTCCGCCATGGACTCTTCCACAGATAGAGCGGACTCTCCATACATCACTCTTTCATCCCCGTCCCACCCACTCTCATCCACCACCACCTCCTCCTCCGCCTCTTCCCGTAGAGGCCCCGCCCCCACACCATCAGGTCCCTCCCCTGCAGGCTCTGTGCCGTCAGTCTCACTCACTCTCAGGCTCTTGGGCTGCTGGCGGACCTCCATGGCGTGCTTCTGGCGGAGCTCCTGCTCGCGCCGCTTGTTGTACTCCATCTGGTTGGTGAGCTCGCTCTGGTGCTGTGTGCGGATCAGGTCAGCGCGAGTGCGCTGCACGAGGCCCAGCTGCCGGAACTCCAGCTCCTGCGTGGACTCGTGGTGCCGCAGCAGCATGGCACACTCCAGGTCCTTCAGCGTCTGCTTCTTGTTCAGTTCCTGGTGGGAGGGAAGGCAGAAAGAAAAGGTAACAAGTTATTCCCACGACAATTACTGGGACGAATTAAAACAACAAAGACTAATCGTCTCATCAGATATACAAAGAATGATGATGGGTCGAATAGTTAAAACAAGCCTGAAATATTTCATTGATTCAATGGTTTTTAGCAACATTTAGAAAATTTAAGTCACCAAATTTTAATTATTGCAACACAGAAAATTATTAAAATATATATATTGTATTTTGCAATTTTATTTTAGCACAGCAACACAATTACAGCAATTCAGATTTCATTTTACTCGTGCCACATTTTGTTGTTTTGGTTCACATTCTTACAGTTCACTTTAATGTTTCCCTTGTAAAGAGATGCAACAGTTAAAAGTAATACAAATTCATTTCTTTCTGATTAAAAAAAATGAAAAAATGATAAATATCGTAACAAGAAACAAGTATGTGGACACACTGCAGTACTGAGAATTCCAGAAAAAAATAAATGCCAAAAACTTTAAAACAGAAAGATGTGCTCCTCAAACTTTTTGCAGCAAGCAGAAAGAAACATTAGAGCAATGATATACCAGGTCAGATGGCTAAAACACAGATATGGACTTCCCGAATGGAAATAAACAGTTCACTAGTGTGAATTTTGGTGTAGAACAGAATCCCTTAACTCACAGTCCGGGAGGGCAACACAATTTCAAAAGGTGACCAACTGTTCTTGAAAAATTTAAGCCCCGGGGTCCAGCTAATAACTGCCTTCAAGAGCTCCTGCTTAGCTGAGTCAGGTTTGTTAGATTTGGGATGGAGATGAAACCTGCAGGAAGGTTGAGAGGAACGTGTGCACTGTGTTTCCAGGTTTTACCTCTCTAAGCAAGTCTTGCTCCAGGTTGTGTCGGGCCAGCAGCATCTTCCTCTTGTACTGGCGGCACTGCAGCTCGTAGTACTGCCTCTGGCGCCTCAGCAGTCCTGCCTCCTCCTCTGCCTGGATCTGCTGCAGACACTCCTTCTGCTGCACCAGCCACTCCTGTTTCTCCCGTTTCGGCGTGGACTGGTTTTCATTCAGCTCCTGTGTGAAAGGGGGAATTTTAACGTGGCACTGTCTGTGTTTACATGCAAAGATTTTCTTCAACCTGACTGAATAGATTCCGATTATAGATTCAGACTGAGGTGTTTATTCTCACTCTACTCAACAATCTGATTAAAATCTCCATTTACATGCTCACCACAAGTAATCAGATCCATAGTTACACACCTGCTTAGAGAACCACTTAGTGTAGACGTTACCATGACAACCAGCAACACATGAGTCCAGTCAGAGTGAGATGAGCAGCAGTGAGCAGTGCTTGTGTTTTTAAGTGCTTTAAAATGATGTCAGACTCAGGAAAACATCCTTCATGCTGAACGGTATAAACTTTCACTATGACGCGACACAAATGATCAGAACGTACTTAAACTTTCTGATAGGGAATGTAATCAGATACAGGCGATTACACTGATATTATTCTTCTATTTAACAGATTATTTACAGGATTACCCACCTCGTTTAATCAGATAGACATTGCATTTAGAATGGCCTCAATCGGACTAGACTATTCCGACTGAGATGTACACACGGACAACTTGTATTCTGATATTATACTAGCTACATTATTAACAGATTATTAGGCTAAATGTAAACGTGGCTACTGCTGGGAGGAATAAACTAAATGGGGCACCTCCAAAACAGACTGATAACGTTGAGTACTTTATACTAACATACACCGATCAGGCATAACATTCTGACCACCTCCTTGTTTCTACGCTCATTGTCCATTTTATCAGCTCCACTTACTATATAGGTGCACTTTGTAGTTCTACAGTTACAGACTGTAGTCCATCTGTTTCTCTGCATACTTTGTTGGCCCCCTTTTACTCTGTTCTTCAGTGGTCAGGACCCCCATGGACCCTCACAGAGCAGGTACTATTTGGGTGGTGGGTCATTCTCAGCACTGCAGTAACACTGACGTGGTGGACAATGAGTGTAGAAACAAGGAGGTGGTCATAATGTTATGCCTGATTGGTGTATACACATTGGTATACACATATTAACATTTCTTTTGTTCTGTCAGAGTTGTGTTCACGCCCTGCATGTGGACACATCACATTTCTATCATTTCTGTCAATCTAAAATGACCAGCATCACACTTTACATTGGTTCACTAAGGTCAGTCAGCACTCTAAACAGGTACCAGCAACAGTAAACAGCTTAAACAGAAGACATGATACAGCTCATACATTTAGAAGAGAGCTTAAGGTACAATAAGTAAGAGAAGTGGTTTATAAGATGAATACCTCCTTCAGCTGCTCTTTGCGCTGCCTATACTGACGCTTCTGAGAGTCCAGCAGGGTGGTGAGCTCCTTCTTCTGCTGGGTCAGGATGTGCTGCTGGAACTTCTTCTCCTCTGTTGAAGAACCCTTAGTCTAGAGTTGGTGAGAGAGTAAAAACTGAACAATTGTAGAAAAAGAAAGACCTCAAGATGAGGGAACTAGTTTTTGTGTTCATGTAAGTCTAAGTGACAGACGAAAACGGGTATTATGATAATTTGCTGAGATAAAAGTACATTTTTGGATTTTCTTTTTAATTATATTAGGTAATAAAGTTCTACACCATGTGTGTCGGGCTCCAGTTCTCATGGGCCACAGCACTGCAGACGGCAGCGTCCTGCCTTATTAAATAAGCCTAAAAAAAACAGTCCCGCGCAGACCTCCAACTCAAAATGCTAAACCTGTGATCTACTGCAGTCCCTAATTTTAGCAACCTGTGGTTCAATTCATGAAGGCGATTAGCTGATGAGTTAGCTGACTGTTTTTCAGTCCCGCTCCCGCCCGCGCAGTTCTGTCAAGGTGAACTGACATCCAATATCTGACATAGTCTTTTCACAAATACATGATGCTCAGGCTCACTGTGAGGCAACTTCACCAACACCATTTATTCCCTGTAACCACAAAGCAAGAATTAAACCACAGAGCGGTTATTTTTGGTGTTTTGCTGGGCAGCTGTGGCCGTCAGGCTGAAGGCTCCGTCGTCTCTGTGAGCTACAAGGAATTTACATGTAGTTCACTTGATCGACAGCTTTGCAGCCCTTTAGAATGACTTCATTCATTTTAATTGTTTTACTGTTATAATGTGTGTGTGTGTGTGTGTGTGTGTGTGTGTGGGTGTGTGTGTGTGTGTGTATATACACATACATACATACATACATACATACATACATATATATACACACACACACACACACACATACACACATATACACATATGACTTAGTGATTATTCCGCTTTATTTCGGGCAGGGGTCTCAACCCAAATGTTAAGAAGAGCCATTTTGTCCTTTCAACAAAAATCAATCCATCTTGGGAGCCACAACATTTTGTGTCCATTTTACCATCATGGTTGTAAATATATGTCTCAGTAGTTTAGGCTAAAAAATATAATATAAACGAAAACGCAGACTTACTTTGCTCTACTTTAACATTTAGTTCAGCTATAGCCGCCTTTCTCGCATCTCAGTCAGGAAACATTTCCGCAAAAGTAGAGTTCTTGTAAAATGTCTCAACGTTCGACTTTTTACAAGGCTGAAGTTTCTCATTCACCAGTTTCTTGTTTGAATTCTCCCCTTCCACCTTGAAAGGAGGTGGAATGAGACAATCTGAACAAGAAGCCGGCGAATGAGAAACTTCAGCCTTGTGAATTTTTAGTGTTTGTCAGTTTCTCTTTGCAGAAAAAAGCAATTTAGTCCATTTGTCTCCAAATTATCGAGGTTCGTCTTAAATCTCTCTCTTTGCCATTTCGTTAGCTACTAGCTAGACGAGACTTGTCTGCGCTGCTATGGTGACCAGCACTCTGCCCTGATCTTCAGGGTTAAAGGGTGAATTAGCAGTTCTATATTAACTCCAGAGTTTAAGACCATTTATTGTTAAAACGATCAGCAGAGCTTTATTTTACTGCGAAATAGGACTATTATTTAATCTAGTTCTGCTGTGGAGCCGCATATTGCCGACCCCTGATTTAGGGTATTAATTAATTTCAGGGTTTCTCTTCATGCATGCTTCGGGCCGCTCCCGCCTGCAATCGGCTGGCTTCCCTGCGCAACACAATGAAAATTAGTCCCGGGTCCTGTGGGAATCCGCGGGAGCGCAGACCTCCATCTTGAATTTTATAACTGATTTTGATAACTGCTGCCAAATCTCTATCACTGTCATCACTAACCCTGGATAATCTCCTCCCTCCACATCGCTCCCTCTGTCCCTCCCTCCCCTCTGCTTCCTCACCTCTTTCTCCAGCACAGCCTGGTGCTTCTTTCCAAGCTTGTCGCTCTCGCTGGCGAAGTTGTTCCTCTGCGTCTCCAGCTCCTTGTCCAGCCGCAGCTGGTGTTCATCCATCTCGGCCTTCAGCTTGTTCTCCAGCGCCATCAGCTGCTTCTGGTGCTGCCGCCTCATGCGCTTGTAGCCAGACATCTGCTCCCGCAGCGCCGAACCCTGCTCGTGCTCCTGGATCTGACGCGTCACCAGCGAGGCCGTCCGGATGGTGGCAAAGTGATCTCTGCCGCGGCGCCGGCGGCCGCCACCTCCACCAGACGGGCCTTGCTGCTGAGAGTCGACCTCCGGCTGGTAAGGGTCATCGTAGATGTTGTCATGGCTCTGGACAACAGAAAAAGAAACAGGACAGGCCTGAGCCAAACGATAGCAGTATCAGAATAGACTGCGTCTAATGTGAGCAACTTTAAGACGCCCAAAAGGAGAGCATATACGTCTTATAATGTGGTTTCATCAAGGTTGTGCAAAACTAAAAGAAAATTCCTAAATCCCAGCCTGATTTCAGCAGGTTACAGAACAACAGCCTGTAGGCCAATTTAACACGGTAAAAATCGATTTATAGGCTGTTAAGTGTGATTTTACCAAATCATACCAAAGAAAATTAGCACAAAGTTTGCTTAGAACAGCAACAGGTCTATGTTCACTGGTTTAAGCAGGCCTGTGTACACAAATAAAAATGATGCTTCTTCAAGGGTTCTTTAGTAAAGAATTGGTTCTATATAGAACCATGAACACTCAAAGAACCCTTTGCATGCAAAAATGGTTCTCTACATGGTGAAATAGTTCTTCAGATTGATGGAGAATGTGCTATAGATGGATCTATACAGAAGCTTTTTGAAAGGGTTCTATATAGCACCCAAAAGGGTTCATCTATTGTTACAAGCTTGACATCATAACAATAAAAAAAATCCTTTTCAGAAAATGGGTTACATATAGAACCTTTTCAAAAACATTTCATATGGCACCAAAAAGGGTTCTTCATGTTGATGGAGAATGTGCTATAGATGGCTCTATAAAGAATCTTTTTTAAAGGGTTCTACATAGCACCCAAAAGGGTTCTTCTATTGTTACAAGCTTGACATCATAACAATAAAAGAACCCTTTTGGGTGCTACATAGAACCCTTTTCAAAAAGATTCTATACATAACCCTTTTTAAAAAGGTTCTATATAGAACCATCAACAGCCCATGCTCCATCAATCTGAAGGATGACTTCATGATGGACAGACCCATTTTCTTTACTAAGGAACCCTTGAAGAACCATCATTTTTGAGTGTGTAGTGTTATATTACCTGCCATGCTGATACGGGTTACTGAAAAAAAAAAAAGGGATGTAAATCTTAACGGTGGCCTCTCAGCAGTATTTCTACCACCGTTCTTTAACGCACACTGGAAACGAGCTCAGACGAGCTTGTTTATTTCTTTTTTTAGTAAAAGGGCTCTTGCCTTCCACCACGCACTACATTCCCCTGTATACTGTTATCAATCGGCTGTGGCTAGTGGGCACACTCAGACAAAGGTGAACTGCACAGTCTCTCAAGCCTAGAACAGGAGAGGAGTGAAAATTGCAGAGTAAAGCGATGCCAGTCACAGGAATGTGTTTTTTTTGTACACAATGTACAAAGTCGTGTTTTCTCTGCTCTAACACACCTAATTCAACTCGTCTGGCAGTTACGCAACCCTTGAAGAGCTGAGTCGTGTGTGTTGGAGCACTGTATACTGCACGCTGAGGGTATTTCACACAAAGCTGTGAAATCTAACACGCAGTCCCCTTCTCCCATATGGAACTCACAGCATGAACAGTTAAAGGGCTTATAGTCAACATTTTTCTATCTAAATTCATTTTATCCCCCTCCACTTTAGTCCGCTCAAAATGTATGTTCGGTTTTATGCAGCATAAACAGCAGCGATTCTTTAACATCTTCCAGCTTCTCTTTATCCTCTAGCATTTAGTCTGATATACACTACATGGACAAAAGTATTGGGACACCCCTCCTAATTATTGAGTTCAGGTGTTTCAGCCACACCCATTGCAAACAGGTGGATAAAATTAAGTACATAGCCTTGCAGTCTCAATAGACAAACACTGGCAGTAGAATGGGTCACACTGATGAGCTCAGTGACTTTAAACATGGCACTGTCATAGGACGCCTCTGTCACAAGCCAGTTTGTGAAACTGCTAGAGCTGCCCCTAGACTTCTCTATCTGTCAGTCTGATGGACGAGTCTGGGTTTGGGGGATGCCAGGAGAACGTTACCTGCCTGGCTGCACTGTGCCAGCTGTAGAGTTTGGTGGAGGAGGGATGATGATATGGGGCTGTTTTTCAGGGGTTGGTCTAGAACCCTTAGTTCCAGTGAAGGGAAATTTTGGACAATTGTACGCTTCCAACTTTGTGGGAACAGTTTGGGGAAGAACCTTTTCTGTTCCAGCATGACTGAGCCCCAGTGAACAAAGCAGCTCCATAAAGGCCTGACTGGGTGAGTTTGGTGAACTTAACTGGCCCTCACAGAGCCCTGACCTCAACCCCATCACACACCTTTGGGATGAACTGGAACGGAGATTGTGAGCCAGGCCCTCTCGTCCAACATCAGTGTCTGACCTCACAAATGCTCTTCTGGATGAACGAGCAAAAATTCCCACAGACACTCCAAAATTTGTTGAAAGCTTCTCAGAAGAGTGGAAGCTGTTATAGTAATGCCTATGGGTTTAGAATGGGATTTATAAAAGCTTCTGTAGGTGTCCCAATACTTTTGTCCATATAGTGTATGTAAATGACCAGACAGCCTGTTTTGGATTCATTAACACATGATGAACCCAAAATGCGGTGTTACCACAGCATAGTTTACATATACAGTGGGGTCCAAATGTCTGAAACCACAGTGAAATTCTGAGATTTCCTTTTTCATTTAATTCTGGAAATAACTTTTTTTTAGGATTGAGAAATTTGAAACAAAAAGTAGTCATGCGAAGTAAAACAAAGAAGAATTATTTAACAGAAGCATTTTCACTAGCGATCACAGACTTTTGGACCCAACTACATGGACTTAGAGGGTCAAACTGGACAGTTTTTAAAACTTGTTCATGTTTACAACGACACGTCCAGTAACATTTTTCTCTCTCTTTGACACCTTAGGATACTGACCAGGGGTTTGTGCAGTACGGAGCTGTTGGAGGTGACCGTGTGTTCGCCCTCCTGCATCATGGCCATCTCCCCGCTGTCGTCCGAGCCGTCGGCCAGGCTATTCACAGAGGAGCTCTGGGAGCTGGCGCTGATGGACATGGAGGGCAGAGAATGGGAGCTTTCCATGCTGTTCACCGTCCCCGTCCGCAGCATGTACTGCTCCACGTCCTGCGGGTCAAGAGTTAAACAAACAGGGGAATTAATGAAGCCCAACATCACCCACTAAGCAAACCAGGTGGACCATAATAGTGTGAAATAAAAATGCATTTACAAGTGATCACTTCTGTGGCTCTGAGAGACGTTACATCTGGGCATAAGCACCCAGTTTACAGCCATTTCAACAAATGTGGCAGCACAAAGTGTCAGTTATACTAACAAGAATGTCAAGTAGCCAATCAAGTGCAGGACGGTGCAAAAAATAAGAGCGTCAAGTACTAAATGTTATAAACATCAGCTCAACAATGGGTAAGAAGTACGCTCAACATCATATGGCTGAGTGTATAATTACAACAACTGTTTACGACAAACTACAAGAACATTAATGGCAAACTCTTTAAATTAGTCACTATGCATGAATCATTCTGTCAAGGTGAGCGCTCTGGAGTACCGATTATTATGACTATTAATTGATTGTTTTAAAAAGATGAGTTGTGAAAACAATAAATGAGCACATTCATCAGGTGATTTCTTACTGTAATAGAGACAATCTATTTTCACAGCCTTAACTTGGTCTACTAAATCAACTACTGCAATCATTTTCTATTATCCGGATTCCTGCAGTTATCTGATTATTCAAGTGGTCATGTAAACAGCACACTCTGATTTCTTAGATCGGAGTAAGGTCTAGAAATCTGATTAAGAAATCTGATTAAGAAATCTGATAAAGAGGCTGTATTTTAGCTCAGTAATCAGTGCACGTAAACTCCTACTCTGATTTCCTTTGGATTTCTCAGTCTGTGCATGCTTGACGGGGCATGAAGTTTGAGTTTTACGTTATGTTTACGTCACTGCTGTGGTTGGTTGTAAAGCAGAAATCCGATTACTGTCTGACTCATGTAGACCCGGAGTCTCCCCATTATCTGATTAACCAAAGTGCATGTAACACTGATTTTCTGCAGTTATCGGATTATTACATGCATGTAAACGCACTCATCGAGTTAGTCAAAGAGAGTAATCATAACTTTATTATGATTTAGTGCAGAGCAGCTCAATTGTATTCACATTGTTTTCTATCTGTTCCAACAAATTAAACCAAACTAACCATTTTAATACGTACCATGTATAAAGAAAACGTCTTCAAATATTGTAAAACTCTTCTGTGTGAGACCTGCACCATCAACAATCATTTAAAACTACGGAGAAAAATCGCTGGTTATTGGAGGTCGTTCTCCTCAATAGTCCCGCCTACCTCCTCCTCCTCTGCGCCCTCGGCGGCAGGGCCATTGTGCGTTTCCTGGAAGAGGATCTTCTTCATTTTGCGGTACTGAAGGTTGTCCAGCTCTCGCACGGCATCTTTAGTGCGCGCGATCAGATCCATCACCACGGTCAGCGGACGCTCCCGACACAGGAAATGATGCTAGAAGACGAGAGGGATAGAGAGAGGGAGCACATTCAGAATAACAGCAGAAAGGATACTCCACTCAGAACCTCTACAGAAATCTGCTTCAAGGCCAGAACAGAACACAGCCCTAAGAAATCCGTTTTAGGTGGGATGAGGCTTTTATAACTCTGAACACAAAAATGATTCATCAAGTACTTTCAAAAACATTGGGTACAAAGATATAACGATAAAGTTTTGCTTAAACCTGTACTCTATCCACTGCATCTGTAGCACACAGCTGATTACTCATAGAACCCATCGATATATTGTCCTGCTCACAGTATCGCTGTATGATTGGTATTATTTGCAAAAATAAAGCAGATTAAACTGGTATATACAGCCTGAACTGGTAAATCTGAACACAGAAGATGATTAAAAGAACAGAAACACATAAAACTTATCAAACCTCACCTTTAGCATTCGCATGTTACAACAGAAACATTTAAGAAAACTGACAAAAAATAAAATTAAGACAGAAATTAAGTGTAAATAAAAAAAAGGACTATTAGCCAAGACTAATAGACAGACTATTACTTTAAGACAACAAAGAAGCCGAATCAGGCTTTCTGCAAATGCTTACAATCTCTTACAGCTCAGTTGGTGGAAGTTTACTTTCTTATGTAGCATCTGGGATAGCATTATATCCAATATTAAAACTCAAACTCAACAGGTGTTTTTAAATTCATATTTCTTTAGGCTCATTTTCAACCAAGGTTTATAACTGAGCTTTTATATTCATATACAGCATGTTTTTATCTTTCTAACATTTTACTCACATCCCTACAACACTGGGATTTGGTAAGATAAAAAATAAATATTATTAAGATCAATATTAATTTGGTGATTATTATCATCTTAAACGGCACTTCTTTTCTACAGAAGAATAATTTCGTAATTTCTTCTTAAATGTCTCAAACCCAAAAACGTTTAAACGGCCTCTTGTATTTCTCTATACATGCTCTATAGAGATGGTGGAGACCTGCCAGTGGTCTCATTAATATTCACACTGCCCACTGGGCCCACTGCCCCTTCATACATTGTGAATGGTGCATTTCCAGCACCGTAGCTGAAGCGCTACTGATGCCACATCTAACGGGAACAACAATCATAAAAGAAGAAGGAACAACTGAAAGGTGGAAGTAACCAAACAAGCTTTAAAGTAAGAGACCATATATGTTAATTCTCACAAGAAACGGCAAATATTGGATTATATGACCAAAACATGCATAGGTTGTATGCTCGAACTGGATGGATGAATGAAAAGAAAGAAAGAAAAATAAACATGCGATACCCTGCTTGATAAATAAAGTAAGTGCAAACAGAATAAAGTCAGACACTGATCAGCCGTATCATCAAAACCACCTCCTTGTTTCTACGCTCATTGTCCATTTTATCAGCTCCACTTACTATATAGGTGCACTTTGTAGTTCTACAGTTACAGACTGTAGTCCATCTGTTTCTCTGATACTTTGTTAGCCCCCTTTTACCCTGTTCTTCAGTGGTCAGGATCCCCCATGGACCCTCACAGAGCAGGTACTATTTGGGTGGTGGATCATTCTCAGCACTGCAGTAACACTGACGTGGTGGTGGTGTGTTAGTGTGTGTTGTGCTGGTACGAGTGGATCAGACACAGCAGTGCTGCTGGAGTTTTTAAACACTGTGTCCACTCACTGTCCACTCTATTAGACACTCCTACCTTGTCAGTCCACCTTGTAGATGTAAAGTCAGAGACGATAGCTCATCTGCTGCTGCACAGTTTGTGTTGGTCATCCTCTAGTCCTTCATCAGTGGTCACAGGACGCTGCCCACAGGATATTTTTGGTTCTCAGTCCAGCAGCAACACTGAGGAGTTTAAAAACTCCAGCAGCACTGCTGTGTCTGATCCACTCAGACCAGCGCAACACACACTAACACACCACCACCACGTCAGTGTTACTGCAGTGCTGAGAATGACCCACCACCCAAATAGTACCTGCTCTGTGAGGGTCTGTGGGGGTCCTGACCACTGAAGAACAGGGTAAAAGGGGGCTAACAAAGTATGCAGAGAAACAGATGGACTACAGTCTGTAACTGTAGAACTACAAAGTGAAACTATATGGTCAGTGGGGCTGATAAAATGGACAGTGAATGCAGATACAAGGAAGTCTGACTTAATGAAGTGGCTGATCTGTGTATGACTGATCAGGTGTTTTGTTTGTGTGTCCTTCTACTACATCTCTGTAAACTCGCTCTTCTACAGAGTTGATGGACCCTAATTCTAATAACTGTCTGCAATATTTCAGTTATTCAGTTTAATTCGGCAGCTGGGTAGAAACTTAGCTAGTTCTGATGAAGCCGAACAATAAAGCGAAGCTCAAAGCAACAAGAACTTTGATGCAGTTATGAAATTCACCTTCAGCAGCACGTCAGAGGTAGGTCTGTCCTGGGCAATCTTCTGCAGACAGGAGTCCACAAAGTTACGGAAATAATCCGACCTGCGAAACACAGCACAGCCTGGTGAGCGTTACAGAAGGAGGAAGGTGCTAAAACGTGACGGCACTAAAGACTGCCAGTAATGGAGTCATGAGGGAGTCAGGTGTAAACAGGGACTACAGAGACAGAAACAGGTAGAAAGTGGTTTAACTGGGAAAAGTGATGGATCAAGACAGAAAAACAGACTGGGAACTGACTAATGCTGGGAGATATCGTCTGTACTTGTATATCAGTACTGCTGTTACAACGATACTGATTATCAGCTTCCGCAATATTGATAGAAATTACTTCAGCTAACTGCAATGTCTGTGATTCACTGGCTACTTCGGACTATTTTGAAAAGGCAGAACAAAACACATACAAATTAAAGGGCCCACATTTGGCATCGACTGTCTTTGCTTCCACAGAGTTGACGGATCCTAATTCACATTTGTATTGTGTTTAATTTTTTCCCCCTTAAGGTAAACTTAACATTTGTGTTGATTTATATACCAAAAATAGTCATAATTGATTTTTACATGGCAATGTTCCTACCTTTCTATCCCTTTGACTTAAACAGGCTATGTTACTGTACCTTTAAGACTGATATGTAAATGATCTCTGTCCTGATTGGCTATCCTGTATTGTGCCTCATTCAAAAAGCACTCAGAGCTGAAACACTCATATAACTTATAACCTCTATATGAATAGGCGGAGCTAAACTGCTGTAGACTGAATAGGTGGATATATGTCTCTATATTTTGTGTATTTGTTTCTATTCTGTGTATATTTCATATATTTCATTATTTTTTTGTATTTTTATTTTTTTTGTATTTTTATTTTTACTTTGTTTACTTTCTGTAGACTGATTAGCTGAGCCTCACCACAGGCATTTCAATGCATGAATGTCCTGAAATGTTGCGCAAATGACAAACTTGAAACCTGAACTATACGCAATGAGTTGGTCCTTATGAAATGACAAAGGGGCTGTTTTTGCAGATTAGTTTCTATAAATGGACGATATGTAATGAGCAGTGAATGGTATGTTGGGAAACTTTGACAATATTTACACACTGTGTCAAACTCCTTTATTAAAAAAGAAGGGAGGGAAAACTGGTTTTCTATGGGTCCTTTAAATAAGCATTATGTTTTCTTCATGGAAATCTGTCCAGTTTACATTTACAATAAATGTGAAAGGTTTCCTTCCCAAAATTGACTTTTTTCTACCTTATTAGTTCATGCTTTTGGTCATATTAAGCGTCGTACATTATTTCATATTATTTAAAAGACAAAATGTTCGTTTTCTTGCTATCTTCCATCGATATGTAAGAACTTAAGCCTCGCCTTTAAAACATCATCTGATATCTTTATGACATCATTGTCCACCAGCAGGGATGGTAAGATAAAATTAAGCACCTTTCCCTCCTCCCACCACCCCACCTATCCTGAAGAGAAAACGCTCAGCTAGCTCAGAGGCCCTGCCTGATACAGAGCTTCACTCACAAAAGCATGGAACAGAAGCAGAATGAGTTATAACTTTCCATTCATGCCGACAGGACAAACAAACCACTCCAATCAAAACGAGCTCCGTCAGGTTTGTGAGACGTTCTTTCAGCACAGAGTGGCAGAACTAAGGAAGCACGGCTCACTAGCTTTGTTATGGCTAATACTGAGATACATACTGGAATTATAATGATACTGTGCTTTATCAGTATCTCCCAGCACTGGAACAGATATGTGAATAATGTATATGTGATAACTAGAGGAGCTGATGTCTCACCAGTGATTAGACTGCAGGACTGGGCTTTCGTTCTGGGCGATGTGGTATAAGGCACTCATAGCATTCATGTTGAACAAGGGAGGCTTTCTTTCCGCTGAGAGAGAGAGAGAGAGAGAACAGAGAGAGAGAGAGAGAGAGAGAGAGAGAGAGAGAGAGAGAGAGATTACATTTTTTATGCAGCATCAACTCCACCTCATTGTTTTCACTTTGCCTTATTCTTGCACATCGTTTGAACAGTTGTTTGTCAGCAACTTGCTCTCATGTTCGAGGCAAATTTCCTCCTTCGGGGATTCACTCGTTTACTGAACACGTGCACAAAAAAGGTGAAATGGGTACGCGGTCATTTTAGCAGAGTCATTCATAAAGCAGTCTCCACTGTTGCAGCACAAATATGGACATAACACCAAAAACTTACACAGTCTTCTTATAAGTGCCCCCCAAAAGTATCTGGATAGTTGTGCCATATATAAAAAATGTATTAAAGTCTAAAGGAACCCAAGTCCATGTTTTCTTTCTAATTAGGTTAATGTTGCTCTTGTGGGCAAACAAAACACGTGTCCTGTGAATGACTTTCCGATGCTCACTAAACGGCCAATTTTGCCGAAATCCTCCTCTTTTGATGCAAACTGGGTGATCCTAATTTCCTGTAGTGTGTGCGTAAGCAGTACCCTCACCAATTACACGTCTGTCCCGCCCACACAGCTTCCAGAAAGCCGGGTTCAGTCTCTTTCGTGTTCAAAAACAACTGTACACTGACAACTGTAAGAAGGACAGTCGAAAACATTGGTATTTCCCCATCTGTGCTTTACAGTAACCTTAGCGCAGTCTGGTTGGAGCTTTCTCCACCTACAGAGTCTACCACCAATCCGATCGTGTCCTAAAAGTGCTTTTCTTTGAAACAAATCATTTTCCTCAACATTTCACGAAGCAACCTATGAAAATCATTATGTTTTAACAATGGTTGGTGTCCAAATAAATTTTTGGGGTCACTTGTATACAGAATTATATTTAGAAAGCATCAATTTGCTAAACGCTTAAAAAATAGGCTACTTTAGTCCAGAAAATGGTGCTATTTTGAACCATGAGCAATCAAAAGAAGCCTTCTTACATGATTTAAGGGTTCTTCAGATTGATGGAGAATGTGCTGGAGATGGTTCTTTGTAGAACCGTTTTTAAAAAGGGTCCTATATGGCACCAAAACTATATGGTCCTATTTACAACCCTTTTTGCCAAGAGGGTAGGAGTGTTAGGGTTATCATGGTAATGATAACACTGTTAAAAAACATCCCCTGAAAATCATAAGGTGGAGAAAATAAACAAAAAACAAAACAATTATGAAAATGCTAACTCCACCACCCATATGCATTAAACAACCACACTGGCATCAAACTTGAACAACATCATTTTCACAATTTCTTCGTTTTTTGCTGGAGGAGGTTCAACCAACATAATAACTAAAAAGGGTCTACTCTTAGGTAAGCACTTAGTTACTCACCCAGCTCTATACAGGTGATGCCGAGTGACCACACGTCCACTTTCCCGTCATATTGGCCCTCATCCATAGCCAAGATCACCTCTGGAGCCATCCTACACCAGGTACATTAATTATGTTAACAGATTGCCTGAAACTGGGTGCCAGTATCACATAAGCTGTATGGATTGGCTTATTTGTTGGCTACATTAGTCTGCAGTTTACCAAGAACATATATAGCTGCGCTTATTCTGCCATTATCTCAGCATGTGTACAACATACACCGGAACAATTCTTTACAATGTGTGTTATAATTTATGTATAATACACACGGACTTCATTTCGGACTACCTCATGTTCTGTCTTACTTAAATATGCACCCGCCCTGGAGCACAGGTTAACCCCCAGGGTTGTTGTCAAGTAAGGCCCAGTCCCATTTCACCCCTCACCCCTACCACTTAGCCCTTCCCCTCCATTTTGCGCGTTCACATCTAGGGGTAGGGTGTCCTGATTCTTGTTGAGATAGAGGGGGAGGGCGAAGAGGGCGACCAAACTGAGATTTTTCAGAGACTTCAAACAGAGAGTTATGAGAAAAAAGAGAAACCGGTGGGATGGCTGAACAAGAGACCAAAGAAACCCACAAATGTGAGATTTTCTGTTAAAAAAACTACGATAACCATTGTACTGTCTTAGTTTAATGGCATTTCAGTGTATTATGATCGCTAATAGTTTGCTGATGTCTCAGTGGCTAGCTAGTTAAATGTCCCGTTCCACCTTAAACGGTGTAGCAGTTACATTCTTGCGACTCAGGCATCAGAACTGCTGCACCATTTAGGGTACAACGGGAAAATGTGAACAAGAAGCTGGTGAATATCTGACTTCAGCTTCATATCACTGAAGAATTAGGGGTGGGTGATAATAAATAATTGCCCCCCTCTTTGAAGGCATATGATGCCCTAAATGTAACTAAAGCCCAGCAGTGAGGAGCTGAACTTTACCCTCCTCTGCTGTCACTGCAGACTGGCAGGGTCGCCTACAGAGCAGCGCTGGTAGCTGTTAATGAAGTGATGCTCTTTTTATTTGAGGGTCCCATTTCAGAGGGAAGAGTTTCAACCACTATCCTGTAACTCAGAACACTTGGAACACTCGGAAACAAGGGGTGGGGTAAAAATAAGAGAAGGGATTGTGCCAAAGTCTTGTATGTAGTCCCTTATCGCTGCTGCCGTAACCCTGCAATTTACTTTAGCCTCAATAAAGTCTGTTTATACGTTATAATGAACATAACTATAGGTGTGTAGTGTCCTAAGCCTATACTCGAGTAAACATACTGTTACTTCAGGGAAATAACGAATGCAGTAAAAGTATCTTGTCAAAACAACTTGAGTAGAAGTACAAAAGCTCATAAAACTACTTTGGTACTGAGTTATTTCACAGAACTGCAGTGGAACTTTATTACATCCAGCATACATCAGTAGAGGAACTGAAGTTTTACTGCTCTATTCTTCTCTTTTTGCATCCTTTTGTTCTAAAGTAAAGTGCTAAAGCTCCAAAGTGAGAGGAGTGATCAACAGTGAAGCAGAACAAGCGACAGAATTAAATTAAACCCTAAAAAGGGAATTAGGAACTGAATGCTAATGTCTAAAATGGAACTGAGTAAATGGCTGAATACCTTACTCAGTAATGCGCTTAAGTGGAAGCAAAAGCATTATTTGAAAATATTAAAAACGAAAAATCTATCATAAATACATGGAACTGAGTAAAGGTAGCCACTTACTACCCAGCTCTCAATGTCACACTGGAAAAATCACTCCTTCTTAACGCCAGTTCATCTCGATTGATGTGTGATGTTGTGATATTTGTTTTGAGGCTTCGTTACAATTCACTGAGATTTGTGTCTTATTGCGGTTTATGGCCCACACAAGCTTGAGCGCCTTACCAGTAGGGTGTGCCTACAAACGAGTTGGCGGGGGCGACGATGGAAGCAGAGCCAAAGTCTCCCAGTTTGACCTGGCCCGGCTCCGTCAGCAAGATATTTCCAGCCTTCACGTCCCTGTGAGGACACGTTACACAGAAAGCGCCATCAGTGACGGTTCCAAACTGACATTTATGGTTAAAAGAGAACATTCGGTCTCATTCAACTCTTCTTAGGAAGAAATCTGTTCTTAAAACCCACTTACACAGTAAGTTCATTCACCAGTGTTTTCTTATGTGGGATTTGTTCTTAGGTAAGAAGAGAATCTACACACACTCAAGAACACAAAGGTGAGAACGGTTCTGCGCTTGAAGAACACGTCATTAATCTGATGTAGACCTTTTCTTAGAACCATTCTCAAAAACAAACTTAAGGAAAAACTTAGAAACAAACACTCAGAAATACAGTCTTTATTGCCAAAACAAAAAATAATGTATTCTTGGGTTGATAATGTAAGCTGATAAATAACCTCCCCTTTCAACTCTGCGTTGGCAAAAATCTCACCAAGATTGAGTGGCTTGATTTATACTATAGACAACAGTCATTAGCAGGACTAATTAACAGAGACCAACAAATTCTGGGAAGCTCCATCCCTGACGCATTATTATTTACATCATACTGTTAAAGTTTCACAAGCACTGTTTATTTCTGAGTCCATAGAGTCCATACATGGGAAATGTAGCTGCAAAAACAGCCTGCTGTAAAATCTGTTTTCATGAAAACAAACACATTTACATTTATCCGCCTATTCAGCCTACAGCAGTTTAGCCCCGCCCACTCACAATGATGTTACATGGAGTGTTTTGGGCTGAACTGCTTCTTAACCTTTTTAACTCTGTGGAACCACCGGTGGCTCCAAAATGCACTTCGTTATATTCTTTACTTCATAACTTTCATATTTCATAAGCTACATTCTAATGGTGGGGGTCGTATGAGAGCTGGAACTGTCTTCTCTCCAGTCAAATAGATGGTGATGTCATTTTAAACCCTTATAATAAAAGAAGCTGAACTCAGAATTTTTTTTCTACTGAAAGTCGACTCATTTTTCCTCAAATCTGAGCTATAAACTATAAACAGACGGCGTCTCTTCAGTGATCTGCTCTGTAAACATTATTTTTATAAAATAATACAAAGAGCGTCTAAGATTTTTGGCTTTCAGCAGTAAATTGTAAGTATATAGTAATATGTGTATCATAAAACACATTTTTTAGTTCAGTTTAGTTTATTTATTTCATGCAGTTACTGAATAATCTGCCTTACGATTTGGGCATTTAAATTCACATGGAAAAACTAAATATGCCCACGAGCATAATAAAGGCACAATACAGGACAACCAATCAGTTTTACTTACATTACTCTTAATGGTACATTCATAAAACGTTCCTGTTTAGTTATAAGGGATAAATAAAGAATGAAAGACCATAAGTGGACCTCTGGACAAAAATAAAAACCAAGAAAAATTTACAATATGTTAAATTATACTGGGTAATATTCGGCCCTCTAACATTACAATGGAAAAATCTAGTCTCCATCACCAACACGAGCTGGAGGGACTGAGTCTATACCTGTGAATCATGTTGTGAGAGTGGAGGTACACCAGGCCCTGCAGTGCACCGTGGATGATCGCAGCAATTTCCACTTCCTGCAGCGGCTTCTTGTGCACTGAGGGAAAAGAGGAAGAGTGAAAAAAAAGAAGTTCCCATTTTTAGAAGGTTCTCACAGTAGCAGCATTCTGACAGTGTGAGAAGCTCATACAGATATAACCCAGCTGTAATGCATAACACTCAGCATAACGCAAGAATGCACAGACTAGTGATGCTATCATAGAAATTTACAGTTACAAAAGCAGAACTGTGGGTTACTTTACACTCTCGCTAAACTGGTTAGCATCTGTAACAAGGTGGACGACAGAATCTGTCATCTAGATCATCACCAATCTCACAACTGACATTTGTTTATTAAGACTTTTTTCTTGTGTTAAAGAGAAATTCTCCTGATTTCTCCAAATTTCTGCACAAGATGTAACTAACTGTAACATGTACATTAAACCACTCTGAAGGACTAACAAAGATTAAAACGTTAAAAGGTTTAAAATTGTCCTTTTTAAATACCAGCACTTCAGTAGCACAGTAACGCACTGACAATCTGCAGTTTGCCAGAATAGGTCACTGAGCGACTGTAAATTAGCTAGTAAATCTTTTAGTGCAAATTTTTGCAATTATCCACTGTATTTCATGATAAAAGGCAAGGCAAGCTTAACGTCAGAGACATGCAAGCTGGAGAAAAACTTGCGGATATACATGTGCAGGAACAGCGAAGAAAAACTAACTAGATAATTAGCTACTACAAAAGAAATCTTCTAATTTTCTTTTGCAAAAAATTGCAAAAAGGAAAAGAAATCTGAGAGCTGGCTGGTTTTGGAGTACAGCTGGAACAGATAACCACAACATTTTTTTGTTTATTACAAGAGAAGCTCTTTGTGGTCATTCACTCACCTTCTAGCAGATCTGAGGCTGAACCCAAACAATACTCCATCACCAGCTGAAACAGAGAGAGGAGCTTATTAGAATTAGGAATGTAGATGTTTGTTTATTTGATGTTTGTTAATAACACCTTTAGAGGGCGGCGGCGAGTAACGTTTATTTGATGTTTGTTAATAACACCTTTAAAGGGCGGCGGCGAGTAACGTTTGTTTATTTAGTGTTAGTTAACACCTTTAGAGGGCGATGCGGCGAGTAACGTTTGTTTATTTGATGTTTGTTAACACCTTCAGAGGGCGGCGGCGAGTAACGTTTGTTTATTTGATGTTTGTTACCGTTAGAGGGCAGCAGTGAGTAACGTTTGTTTATTTGATGTTTGTTACCGTTAGAGGGCAGCAGTGAGTAACGTTTGTTTATTTGATGTTTGTTACCGTTAGAGGGCAGCAGTGAGTAACGTTTGTTTATTTGATGTTTGTTAACACCTTTAGAGGGCGGCGGTGAATGACGTTTGTTTATTTGTGTGAAATGTTTGTCTATTTTATGTTTGTTAATAACACCTTCAGAGTTAATAACACCTTTATAGTTGTTTATTTGTGAGAAGTGTTTGTTTATTTGAGCTCATTCCGGTTTGTTTGTCAGTTTGAAGCCACAGTCAGGCGAGACAGCTGATCAGCCACTGTGACCACTTTAGACTGCATACAAAAACAATCGGTAATCACAATTTATTTGGCAATTAATCATCAGCTAAAATTTAACGATCGTGAAAGGTCTATGACAACAATTAACAGACTTTACTCTGCAGCTCTAATACCGACATTGGTTCAATGTTAGGAATTACTAGGAATTACTAGGAACTAGTGGTGGGCGATATTTGAAGACATTCTACAACACGCATCATGATTTACTTTTTCTGAGATTTAATAACAATAATAAAAATAGCATAACTGCTAAAAAATTATTCAACGTTTTACAAACTGCACTAAATCCAATTAAACAGCTGCTCACTTTGGAATGAAACATGTAGTTAGGTAGTGTACTGTAAGCACAGACGATTATCACAACATGCACAGAAAAGCATATTGTGACATAATTTATCACGATAACGCTAAAATATTGTCACACTGCCCAGCCCTGATCTTCACACGTGCTGAAGTTAACTGAGTCAAGCTAAAAGAGAAGCAAATTTGTAGAAAAGTGGTCATTTCCATTGCAAAGCCTGCGAAGCTCTTAAATTTCCATAACGATCCGCAATCGTACTTAAGTGTGAGAAATGAAGCAGCAGTATCAGTAGAGGTAAACATCAGCCAATAGAATTTTCCTATCAGCACATCCTTAGGACCAACGGGGAGAAATGCTTTGTGAGTGTCCGCAAGCGGAGGACAGTGCAGAAGAGCTACTGTAATAAAAAGGAAACGGTGCTACCGGGTCAGTACATTCTCCGCTCAGAACAGCACAATCTCCGTCTCTCCCACACAAACTCACTCTCTCACTCACCCATGCTGTGTGCTCTTTCAAGTAGCAGCCTCTGTACTCCACAGTGTTGGGGTGCCGCAGCTTCTGGAGGAACTTCACCTCTTTGATAATATCCTGCCACTTCTGCAGCAGGAACAAGAGAACAATGCAAACGGGTCACGTGTCTATCCAGCACTAAGCTCTTGGCATGCTCAAGGGCCTGAAGGGCCCAGCATTCACTTCACTACTTTGCTCGCCTAACTGCACCGACACGGCGCGTTTAAACGCCTCTCAATTTTTCACCTCGTTAGACTGCTTGCCACTGTAGGACATCTTCTTAATAGCCACCACCTCATTGGTGCGGATGTCGTGGGCCTGCAAAGAGAACAAGAGAACATACAGTTTTATTTGCTTCATTTCTATTCGCTGCATTTTCTTCCTCTCAGGCCTCGCCCACATGTACACAGATATTTCTGAATTGCATTTGATTTCAAAAATAAGTCCTTCCCTGCACCAGCGGAGTTTTTGGAAACCTCTCCTTCCACACAAGAAGGCAGAAAATGATTTAACCCTCTCCTGCACGATGTTTCCTCACTTTACAATAACATTATATACACACCGATCAGGCATAACATCATGACCACCTCCTTGTTTCTACGCTCACTGTCCATTTTATCAGCTCCACTTACTATATAGGTGCACTTTGTAGTTCTACAGTTACAGACTGTAGTCCATGTTAGGTGGATCAGACACAGCAGTGCTGCTGGAGTTTTTAAACACTTCAGTGTCACTGCTGGACTGAGAATAGTCCACCAACCAAAAACATCCAGCCAACAGCGTCCTGTGACCACTGATGAAGGACTTGAGGATGACCAACACAAACTGTGCAGCAGCAGATGAGCTATCGTCTCTGACTTTACATCTACACGGTGGACTGACAACGTACGAGTGTCTAACAGAGTGGACAGTGAGTGGACACAGTCACAGACACAGAGGAGACAGGACTGCAGTGCTGAGAATGACCCACCACCCAAACAGTACCTGCTCTGTGAGGGTCCATGGGGGTCCTGACCACTGAAGAACAGGGTAAAAGGGGGCTAACAAAGTATGCAGAGAAACAGATGGACTACAGTCTGTAACTGTAGAACTACAAAGTGCTCCTATACAGTAAGTGGAGCTGATAAAATGGACAATGAGTGTAGAAACAAGGAGGTGGTCAGAATGTTATGCCTGATCTGGGTATTTAAGGACAATGACAACAATAAAAGCCAGACTTTGAGTAAGTCAGTAAAAAAGCACGTATTTGGTCAAACTCTCTCTTAGTGGGCACTTTCAAACCTCTTCAGTATCAGTTTTCAGTTATGTGAATTTGCAGAAATATTTTTGTTGCCTAGAAGCAACACTGGTGACAGGGGAATGGATTTAGCCAATCACAAGCCAGGTCTCACCCCTTCAGGAACCACGGATCTATATCATTTCGTGCCATTGTCGCACAGTGGCACGAAACGATATATAAGACAACACCCCAAAAGGACACCTGCACAAATTATTACTTGAAAAATGATTTGAATTCAATAATCAGGTCAATTTCATGCAAGAAAAGTGAATCAGATATATTTTTTTAAATTGCTCTCATAATGCGTGCAGTAGACGGGTTAAGAAAGCTCTTGCGAGTATGCCAGCCCCGTAGGTGGCGACAAAATTTGACATCAAATGTCTCGAGACGAGAATTTGTTGTGCAACACATGCAGCATTTTATAAAGAAGGGCTGAAGGGCTGTACACACACACACACACACACACACACACACACACATATATATATATATATATATATATATATATATATATATATATAAAAACATACAAACAGTCTTAAAGTTTCAAAATGTACCAATGTACCATCCACTCCCCTAAACTGAAAAACAGCTCACTCAGAATTCACTGTTTTTGTGATGTCACAGAACAGAGCTGCAACAATGAATCGATTAATCGTCGACTATTAAATTAATCGCCAACTATTTCGTTATTTGATTAATCAGTTTGAGTAAATTTTAAAGACAAAAAATAAAAATTCTCTGATTCCTGCTTCTTAAACTTGAATATGTTCTGGTTTCTTTACTCCTCTGTGATACCAAACCGAATATCTTTGGGGTGTGGACAAGAAAAGAAGTTTGAGGACATCATCTTGGGCTTTGGGAAGAAATGATTGACATTTTCTGACTGTTCACAGGCCGAACAACTAATCAATTGATCAAGAAATTAATCGACAGATTAAACGACAATGAAAATAAGTAACAACATCCTGTTTAGTACTGTGGGATAGAGAGAGGTTGGAAAATAGTCGTGTCAAAATTCGCTGTTTTTGGTACATCTTTACATGTTAACCTTGTGGAAAAAGACGAAATACAAGAAAAAAGTAAAATATGGGCCCTTTAAAGGAACACTCCTGCACACACGCATAACAGTGCAATAAAAAGTAAAGCTAAATTACTGAAAAGTGTAATAAAATTTGCGTTTACTGATCACTCAGAAACTGTCCGGTCATCATTTATAGATATATGCAAAGTGATGCATGCACACAGCGGTGGCAAGCTGGGACCATGAGATCAGTGAATCCAAAAATAAGATGCGTCCCGTTCTCATTAAAACACACTTTAAAATGTAGATTTTAAATGGTCAACTCTGCAGAAGGAGCGTCATGATAATGAGACTTCAGCTGATGATTAATTCCAATTTGTTTAATTTGTATGCAGTTGGTAGAGTAAAAGCCAAAACCAGCTAAATTGTCTGTTGATAGCTGACAACAGAAAAAGCTCACGCTCAAATTAAAAAAATAAAATAAAACACTCATCGTCGCCCTCTAAGGGTGCTATTGCACCATCCCAAAACGAGGACTTTTGTTGTTTATGTAATACCCACAGCTTGCCTCAACAAACGAATGTTTGCTTTTATTTCCATGCCTTTGTCGAAAGAATGAAAACGTACCCGATTCAGACTGTTTGCTGCAACATAAACATATCGCTGTTGTCGGAAGAAAACCTCGTATCTCCAAAATGGTAACTTTACAGGAGAAGGAAAAAACCTACTTTCCTTTTAATGTAAGTCAATGGAACCAGAATTTTTTCCAAGTCATTTTGGGTCGTTTCTTTTAGCCCATTCATCATGAAATTGACATACAACGTAAAGGCCAACAGACTTTTTAAAATTATGTCAAAAACTACAAAATGTCAAAAATGGAGATACGAGGTTTTCCTCCGACAACAGCGATACGATTATAAAAGCTAACGACTGTGTCGAACAGCTGCGGTTAGCTCAAATAACTGCAATCAGGTGATTATGTAATAATTGTGGTGGAGCTCTTCTGCAGAGCGTTTTCCTAAAGCTGCATTTTTAGTGACCTAAAATGACAAAAAAAAAGCCCAAAACGCATTATCAGAAACATCCATAATACATGTGGGCGTGGCCTATGTTTCCCATCAGCCGCACTTACGAAGTAGACGGCTCCGAAGCTGCCATGGCCGATCTCGCGCAGGTCAGTGAAGAGCTTCTCCGGGTCCTCCCTGTAGAAGAGCTCAGCCACCTCCGGGTCCTTCAAACTCCCTGCCCGCACACTCGACGGCATGGCCAGCGCCTTCACACAAACACACACACACACACACACAAACAAACACACACACACACACACACACACACACAGAGCGAGAGAGAAAAATGCACGATGAAAACGCTTAAAAGCAAAGCACTATTGTTAGACAGCCCTGCATAACCACATAAGTAGACAGCTCAGAACGGCAGCCATACAAAACCTCTCTCACGCCTAATTCAGTAACACTTGTTGAGAGAACAAACTGTTCCCTTAAAGGCGAATTCCACCGATTTTTCAAAACGCCTGCACAATTCAATCGGAGCCATGTAAACAAAGTCATTCAGAGCGTTCGGATGTGAAGTGGATCATTGTAGAGACTTATTTACAGGACTGTAGGCCATTGTAGGGATTTCTTTACAGTGGTGGTGATAGGAACCAGGGGTCGCCATGACTACAACACAGATATAGACATTTTATTTACTATTCAAAACCACCAGTGAACCTACACGAGTCTTCTGAGCCTTTACATGCAACTGATAACGGTAAAACAGTGGTTTCTTTGGGGTTATTTGAGACTATTTGGCCTTAAAATGGCCTGCATGTACGTCTCCACCATGAATGGCTTCAGAAAAATGTATTATACACTAAAACCGAGGTTTTAAATGCATCAGACATCTGGTTCTCATCACCACTACAACGGTAAAGTCTGTCAGTTTCCTTAAAACGGAGCATCTCATATCAAACCAATCTGAATGACTGTTCACATCTTAGCTATGTAATGGTGAACAATTGGTGGGATTCTCCTTTAATGCCTCGACAACAGAAAAAGACCACATTTCTTGCAAAACTAGCTGAAATCTTGCAGCCAGCTGGATAATCTAGGATATAGCACCACTTTCACATGCTGCTGTGCTAATAGGGAAAAAAGAGACCTATATTCCTACAACAAATTATGAATAATTGATTCCTACAACCAATAATAGAAACTCCAGTCATCCACATCAAACAAGACACTGCCAAATACACATCAGGACGGCGGCACGTGCCCCACATCGAACTCAGCATCCGGCACGAGAGATTGCACAATCGATGTGACGCTGGGGAGATCCGGTGGCCTGGCAGTTCGGCTGTCCGTTAGACGGATTCAAAAAAGGGGCAAAACAAGTCCGGCAGATCTCATTAGACCAGAATGGCAGGCACAGCACATCAAAACATTTAACCACAACAGAATATTAAAACCTACAGTGGACTTCATTTCAACAGCCTACTGTGTCTTCTAGGGCACGAAGGTTTGTACTGTGACCCAGAAGTGAATGAGTTCATGGTATAAAATGAAATTATGATTTATGCATGCTTGCTTCAACCCCCAACTTAAAGAGAAACTCTGTCAATTTTTCAAAATTTCTATATAATTAAATGGTTAAGATTTAAATAAAGATGTAAATAAAGTAATAAAAGTGGGTTGGCGTGAAACGCTCTGTTCTAGAGAAACTTACTGGGTCAGAACTGTTCACAGTGGTGGTGATAGGAACCAGACGTCCACCTCTAAAAGCTCCCTCACAGAAAATTACTACATGAAATGGTTATGAATTCACTGCCTGGCATCTAAAACATTATTGATTGGTAAAGTTCTGGCTTAAAATATATGATAACCCATTTATTTTACTCAATTCATGGGTGAGGGGCACATGTTGGGCTTCATAAGGCAAAATAGTACGCAAAAAAAAAACTATTTCTACAGATTTTCCACTATTTGACCATCATCAGCATTCCATACAAAACACGTGTAGGTTCACTAGTGGTTTTGGATAGTAAATAAAAAGGCTATATTTGTGTTGTAGACATGATGACTCCTGGTTCCTATCACCACTACTGTAAAGGAATCACACCAAACCACTCTGGATGACCCCGTTTACATCTCCAGGACTGAATTATTCAGAAATTTTGGAAAACTGGTGGAATTCCCCTGTAATAAATATAAATTAAGAACAAGTTAAATAAAGCTAAGCTTGCATTGAAAGTTTTTGTCCACTGTAACCAAAGACTGTACAAAAAAAAGTGCAAAGAAACTTAAGAAATAAAACTGGATAGAAATTATGACAGTTACAGTAACGTTACCAGATGCTGAGGTAAATTAATAAAACTGCTAACGTGAAATCCTCTTAGATTCATCCCCTGTCCTCATATCTAATATATAAGATTAATTGCAGGGTTTTTTGATTGGGCTGTCACTAAAAAACAAGGAATAACAACAGAAAACGATGAAGCTCAGTGATGCGTGGATGAATCCTGACAGGGTTCAGAGAGAAAAGGGAAGCGAAAAACAACACAACGCCAGTACATTAGCAGCACTTAAAAATGGTTTAAAAACCGAAATGGAACCAAAAACTCATATAACACACAGTTTAGCCAACAACAACACATATTAAATCGAGGTAATACGCAGCAATCGTTTGGGTTTCTGTCAGCGGACTCGCATGATAAAAAATGAGGCCAGCTGCTCGCTAAGCTAGCGTATTTTCACTCAAAATTAAATTAAATTTGCACTTAAAAGACGGATAAATTCGTCTAGAAAATGTTATATGTCAGCAAAGAGGCTATGAACTCCCTTTTTGTTGGCTTAGTACATGAAAAATCTCAGCTAAGCTGGCTAAACCGACGGCTCGCAAAAACACAACAAACGCTACGATTCTCAAGTTAGCTTCCTAGTCTAATTTCCCGGTCCACCTTAAATCGCGCAGCGGTTCCATTCCGCGCCTCAGGCGCCAGAACGTAACCGCTGCACCATTTAAGGCGGAACGGGGAATTCGAATAGGAAGCCAACTTCAGCCTCGGAAAACCGCTGCATATTGAATCGGAGCACTTACACTGCAGCTCCTCAAACCCCAGGAAAATGAACTGTGGCTTTTAAAGATGTTTAAAAGGGGATCTGGCTGTGTTTATCGTTTAAGAGGCGATAAACGTTTTTATTTTCGTACTGTAGCGTCTTTTTCTCACCGTGGTTTACAGGCTCCACCGTAGCTAGCTAATGCTAGCTAACGCTTCGGCCTGGCGAGCAAAAATCTGGTCCTTTCTTCCTTTTCTCCGTCTTCACTCAGCACCGACTAGCCACTTTTGAAGGGAGAGCCATGGATTCTCGTCATTTGATGCCGTTCGTGGCCCGAATAGAAACTGGCAGCTGGATATATTGGCGTTTTTTCGGACTAAAAGCGGCGCTGGCCGTAGCTAAGGAGACACCATCAGCTGATCCTCAATGAAAAACGGCTGAACCGCTTCAGAGCGCCCGGCTTCCCTCCGCTCCAGCTCCCATCCTCGTCACTTCTGCTCATTACGTTGGTGTCATTCGTTTAATTCGCTTCTGTCCGACACCAGCATCTCCATTTCTTTTTTCTCTCTCTATTCAGTCCGCTTTTTTGTGTGTGTGATGGCGGAGCGGGGCGGGAGCCGAGCGGAAAACGGAAAGCGGAGCTCCGAGTGTCTCAACGGCTCCGAGTCGGTTCTTTTGAATCGCTCCTTCTTTTGTGAATCGGTCGAACCGATTCACCTTCCCAAATGTTCACGCTTCAGAATCTGAATCAGAATTTTTATTGTGAAGTGTGAAGTGTGTGAAATGTTGAATTGTTTTTAAAATGTGGGCTTATTTTGTGTGTTCTAACTTATCAGATGTGATAAAAAATAAATATTGTGACACATCATGAAAAACTTCTTGAAGTATTGTGATGTGACATTTGCCACATCGCTCACCTCTACTGTATGCATATATATATATATATATACATGAATATGTATATGAATATATATATATGTATATATATATATATATATATATATATATATGAACATAAACAAGACAGTACACAACAAGTACACAAACAAACAGCAAGTGTGAGGATGTACAAGGATGCACTTTAGCTTGTTGCAATAGACATATTTTATAAATATGGTTACATTTGCATTTATATTCATATTTGCTGCTCATTTTAGCTAAAGTGCATATAGGTTATTAGTTCTTCAGGATTGATTCACAAAGCTATTCTGATCTCTTATTGTGAGGCTAGTTTTCGCTGATATTTGTGTACAGCAGGAAGACCTAAAAGAGGCAGATGTGAGCTGAGAGACACAAGCTGCTTTTCCACTGCATGGTGCGCCTCATCTTGACCCAACTCACATTTGGTACCAGCTACTTCATTTTCCATGGCAGATATAGTGCCCTCAATGTAGCTTGTCATCATAGCAACGCTGTGTGAAACTGCCGTGACCTAGCTAGTGTTAGCATATGTGTTTAGTGATTCTCTCTGACCAATCAGCAGTCTGCAGCGTTTTTACGTCACCTTTTGCAGTGTGTCCCATTTGACCCTCCCTTTGGAGGCTGCATTTGAAGGCCAGGCGAGGATTTGAGAACATGGTGGCATCAACAGAGAAGTGAACGGCAGCCGAAGAGTTCACTTTTAAATATAAGTATTGGGTTTAAACTGAGCCGAATGGCTAACGATACAAATGTAAAATAAATAAATACATAAAACCTAATCTCATCAGTAGCTGGTGGTGAAGCATCTCCAGCTCTAATAAATGAAAAAATAAATGACTAAAATCAAAGTTTCTGGCTCCGTCTTTAAAGTATTTTAAAATTACTTGACAGGAGGGGTGTTTCGTGATGCAGCGGTGAGGGCGGGAACAGCGGTGCTGTGACACAAACAGGAAATCCGCCGTAGGCCAGACCATCTCATTTCAGTTCAGCCTTCAGGGGTCTAAACAGCCTTCGAAGGACACACCTTCCTAGACCACCTCCTTTGAAGGATCCAGCCCCTGAATTGGGACACACTGTTGGCTCAGGTTGCTTGGAACCTCGACGGAGGTGGTACCAAAAATAATTCCCGGTACCAGATACCAGACTTGCCTAGTGGAAAACCAAAAAAAGGGAGTAGAGTCGAGTCGGGCCGGTACCAGGCAGTGGAAAATTGGGTTTAGGTGAGAGCTGAATCAGAGAGCGAACTGTTAGAAACTCTGCTTATGTACAGTGTGACTGTGGCCGACAACAGCTGGGGAATAAAGCACCACAACTCATGTGAAAGCTGTCTATTTTAATAGCGGTGGACACTACAACATGATGTGTTTTACATGCTAGTATGCTGGTCAACCAGTATGATAGTATGATCATCCTGGGTGACCAGCTAAACCAGCACCAACCAGCATTGAAATGTGGTATGTAAATTACACCTTACGGATGAGGTTGTAGTGAGAAGTGGAGCAGAGAAGCAGAATATCAAAAAACATAAGCTGCTTAACGAGTGGAATAATCTAATGTGCTGCGCACAACTTTTTTTTTTATTGCTTTGGGTGTAATTGTCAAATTTCATGGAAATTATGTTGCAGGCAACTCACAACATGCAACTAGTTGCATTAAAGTTTCAATGTGTAAAGCCTCTTGGCCTGAGTGTCCAACTGTGCACATGTCTCAAACGTGCAAAAGCACAGCACACAACCAAATGCTTGCACAATGCCCCTTTAACTAAGGCCCAATCCCATTTCTTCTTTTTACCCCTACCCCTTGTTTTTGAGTGTTGCCCCTTGGAACTGAGTTACAGGGTAGTGGTTGAAATCTTCCACTACGAAATGTGACCCTCAGATAAAAAGAGCATCACTTCATTAACAGCTACTAGCGCTGCTCTATCTATAATAAACTCTTCCCTCAGCCTCGGCTATGTTCCAAAATCTCTTAAATAAGTTGTAATTAAACCCCTAATTAAGAAACCTAGTTTTGACCCCTCTGAGTTATCAAACTATAGACCTATTTCAAATCTTCCCTTTTTATCAGAAATTTTAGAGAAAGCCGTGGCAAAACAATTATGTTCCCATCTGCATAGGAGTGATATACATGAAAAATTTCAGTCCGGCTTCAGGCCTCACCATAGTACCGAAACAGCGTTAGTGAAAATTGTAAATGATCTTTTATTATCCGCTGACAAAGGAAACACATCCTTACTGGTTTTACTCGATCTTAGTGCAGCTTTTGACACAATAGACCATTCCATTCTATTAGACAGGCTTGAGAAACTAGTAGGAGTGACAGGTAAAGCTCTTTCGTGGTTCAAATCTTACCTTAGTGATCGCTTTGAGTTTGTTAATGTAAATGGGGAACTATCAGCTCTCACAAGAGTAAAGTATGGTGTTCCACAGGGCTCTGTCTTAGGACCCATATTATTTACCTTATATAGGCTACCACTAGGTACCATCATTAGAAAACATGGCATCAGTTTCCACTGCTATGCCGATGATACACAATTGTATATTTCAGCTAAACCAGATGACAAAATCGAACTTAATAAGATAGAGGACTGTGTCAAAAGACATTAAAGACTGGATGTCAAGTATCTTCCTCTTACTAAATTCAGACAAAACAGAAGTTCTTCTTCTGGGTTCAAAAGCTGCTAGGGATAATCTGCCTGCGTTTACTCTTAATCTCGATAGTTTCTCAGTTGCACCAGGCACATCTGTAAAAAGTCTTGGTGTCACGATTGATCCCAGTCTGGCCTTCGATGAGCATGTTAGATTACTGTAACGCTCTGCTTTCTGGTTTTTGCAGCCAAAACCTTAACAAGCTTCAGTTAGTCCAGAACACTGCAGCCAGAGTTCTCACCAAAACCAGGAAATTTGACCACAATAGCCCAATTTTGTGTACCTTATATTGGTTGCCAGTTAAATTCCGCATTGAGTACAAGATTCTTCTACTGACGTTTAAAGCTCTGAATGGCCTTGCTCCTCAGTACCTCAGTGACCTTATTTCCTACTATCAACCGACACGCCCACTTAGATCACAAGGTGCTGCTCATTATTAGTACCTAGAATAAATAAAGTTACGTCAGGGGGAGGAGCCTTTTCATACAAAGCCCCCCAGCTTTGGAATAGCCCACCAGTCAGTGTTCGGGACTCAGACACAGCCTCCATCTTTAAGTCTAGGCTAAAAACCTACCTGTTTAGTCGAGCCTTTGGTTAATTTGTTTTCCTAACTGTGTCCCTCTACATCTACATACATATGACTTCAAAGAGGGGGGCAATTATTTATCATCACCCACCCCTAATTCTTCAGTGATATGAAGCTGAAGTCAGATATTTACCAAGTTCTTGTTTGAATTATCCCGTTCCACCTTAAATGATGCAGCAGTCACATTCTGGGGCTTCAGGCATAAATACTGCTGGGCTATTTAAGGTGGAATGGGAAAGTTAGCTAGCTAGCTACAGAGACATTAGCATAGTATTAGAGATTTTTTTAATGCTTGTTATGAAGAAAACAATAATGCATTGAAACAACATTAAACTAAAATAATAATAATTAATAATAATAATAATAATAATAATTTTCTATCAGAGAAAATGTAGTCATGTAGCCCTAACACTTCACCCTACCCCTAGACGTGAACGCGCAAAACAGAGGGCTAAGGGCTCAGTGGTAGGGGCAAGGGGTCCATACAACATTCTGGCCACCTTCTTTTTTTTTCATTGTTTTTATTTCTGTGGTTGCTGTGGTATCCCAGGTGGTTGTTAGGGTGTGGCTACATGGTTGCTATGGTTCCCTGGGTCAATAGGGTGTTACCTATGGACTTGTATCAACATGGCATAAATTGCCAATAGAAAAGTGCCTTTCATGCAGAGTGATTGCACAGCTTAAGCTTGCTAAGATGTTGCTAGGTGGTTGCTATGATATCCCAAGTGGTTGCTAGGTTGTTTCAACACGTCAGTGACATTTAAATGGCTTATATGTAGTCCTGAATCCTCATTTGCAGCCGCAAGGACCATACAACCTTCAAACGATATAAATTATACATTATGATTAAGCTTTTTTTTGTCCAGCCATATATCAAGAACAAAATGCACTGCTTTAAAAAATGTGTATAATTTGACATATTTAGGGTCAAATTAGAGCAAAGAAATCAAATTAACTACACACTTTAATGTGATTCATCATTTTAAGTGAGTAGCAGACTTACTTGAATAACTGACTTGTTGAGCTAAAGATGGCTGTATTTGGAGAAGATGTGAATGAAGTTGGTGACAGACTCACTCATTGAACAGAGGCGAGAGAATAAAGATGACTTTAATCAACATGAAAACGAACTGTTGAATCAGATGTTCGATTCATTGAGACGTAGACTCGAGCGAGTCGGTTCTTCAAGTGAATCAGTCTCCGCCTCTCTGGTTTCACTCAGCGGCTCTGTAACAGCGCGCTGTCCGGCGCAGTGTCGCCCCCTGCAGGCCGCGGCTGAACGGAGCATCTCTGGTTTTCACTGTTTTTCGAGATTTCAAATCCTCAGAGACTAAATTGCAGCGCGACCATGAAATCCAAAGGCCCAGCTCACCATTTCACTCCTGCCTGAAATAAGTGTTTATGTTTCAGCAGCTTGAACTTACTGAACTTACAATATAGAAGTTGCTGAAGAAACAGCACAGACCAGCATGCATTTTATACTGGTTTATGCTCTGGTGCTGGTTTAGCAGGTCACCC